GGTTACTCAACGAAATTCTGCCGTTTGCTGATATTTTTTCTGGTAAGAAACTGAAAATTCACGCAATCTAATAAAAAACAACACCACTTATATCTCCACTACAGTGAAGATTTACGAAATTCTGTATGGATGATTACTGATCAATGGTAACATGTAATAAATGTTAATGTTTCCCTCTTATCTCTTCCCATAGTTGACATAGATGTGTGCCTTTTCTCTGTGTAGCAATGTCTTACGTGTTTTGTTCTTGCTATTGGTCCATCCTTACACTAATTTATTGTGAGTGAAAGTCTCAAGGACGTAGTGATTGCATGTAGTTAACACCCGGCCCTGTCGTCCTGCCAGGGTCCCCCTGCCAGCCAGTATGTGGTGTGATCCACAACACCTTGGTTTTTCATTCCAATGTCGACTGGGAGACGTCACCTTCGGGTAGCACGTGACAAACTGAAAAGCAAACAGATAGTGGTAAAAACATTGCCGGCGCGATAAGAAAAAGATGTCAATTTTATATCGTTAATGTGTGTTTAGGTATTAAAAATTGAAAAACAAATCTTGGTTTCTACGAACTTGATTAAAAACATTTGTCAACTTTCTCCATCGACTTGATTAGTTTTTAAATAGTTGTTTCCTTAATAAATATTTTCAGTGGGTTTTTTGTTTTTTGTTTTTTTGTTATACCGTTCAAACGTGAATAAAACAAAAAGTGGTTTTTAACGCAACAATGTGATACAAAATGCTTATTGTCCAAACCATATCTTAGTAATGCTTGATTAAATCTTAAAGTCTTAAAAATTTCAAAAAAGCATCTCTACAGACCTGAAAAAGTCTTGATTCGATTTTGAATTAAAATGTAAGAGTTAACTTTCTCAAAAGATTTCAAACGTAATGGCAATAACAACGGTAACGAACGAGTCATCAGCAGATACCTTAAATATAAACAATGTGAAACACGTGGACACCGCCGTCAAGTGATATACTTAACTATTATTACCTTCTGCTGAGCCACATCGCACTATTAAGTGATGTTAAAGTGTTCAAACTAAAGCCGGACATATGTAATATTTCGCGTCACAACTATAAGAATTCTTGGATCTTCAACAGAAAGTAATAATAGTTCAAGCACATGTCCTGACGATATATTTATTAAAGTTGCAGTTTGTGACTGATAAAAGCGCTTCTAGAGGCAATAATATGCGTCCGTGAGACTTTAAATATCCAGACAGTAGCAGGAATTACTTTATACTACCACGTAACTTATACAAACAGCATCTAACAGTTTATATTTACATTTCCAATACAAAGATGCATTCATAGAGCTATGAATGCAATTTGATCAGCGTCATTTTCAAGCTTCTCTCGCCACCTGGATAAACATGAAGGAACCGTTAAAAGCCAACATTTCGGTGACGTTAGGCTGTTCCGGGAATCTTTTTTGCAATGAAAACACAGACATTTCAATATTGGAAATATAAGAATTGAACGGCATTTTTCAATATTCATGCATGAAATTGAAAATATGCCGCTCCTTCTTTATATAATGCATTCAAATACATTTGACAGAGGTAAAATCTCGATCAAACAAGCAAACAAGCAGACAAAATCTTAGATATTTAGTAAATCTATATGGATTTGACTCAATAGAGTAGATAGGAGAAAAAACCCATACAGAGGTTCCAGATAGTGCTAAGAATCAAGTCAAGAGATTGAATAAATTTCTGTGGTTTACGTTAAGTTTTTAACACAACTGTCTAGGTTTTCACGAAACTGTTATAGTCTTAAAGACATGGTTCATAATTCCGTTGATACTAGTAATCCAATAATCCATGTACCCACGCAATCGTGAATCTTGGGAATAGTACGATATTTGGACCCCACAAAATTATCTGATTGAAAAGTATCCTCTTTTTATGCATATGACATTCGTTGAGTGAATGAATGTCTTTGAAAATGCAAACAGAAAAAAAATTGAACAAGATAACAAATGTTTTTCGTCGAAAAAAAAATAAAAAAAAAATATATATATATATATAAGAAAAATCTGAAAAATAATTGGTCACAAAAATTAAGTAATCTACAGGTAAAGAATAAATTGTGGATTGAGACCCTTCATGATTCGTGCTGAACATTTGTGATAGTTAGAGGTAGCAGTACGTGTTGATTTGGCTCCCTGCATGGCTGACGTCACCCCCCATTTAAGGGCCAAAAGAGTCATTTTTCCTTCGCTGTATATAATTTACAATTAACGACAATACGATTATTTCAGTGGGCATTTGCAACAACCATTTACATCTAAATATTCAAATTAATTTCTCTTGAATTAAACATCAGAGACAAGCAACCATAAAAAGAAGTAGCTAACAAATTTTCTTTGTCATTGTCATCGCTTGAACCATTCACCTTTATCAGGAGCAGAATTTTATGCATGAATTTTTCCGAGAGGAGAGGTTGTTATTGGAAACCAAGTTGTAACAAGCTAAAGGACAAGAAGCGATTTGGTCAAACACGGCTCTAAACGCTTGGTTAGCATATCTAAAGAAAATAACCAACTAGTTGTTATTAGCGTAACATTGGTCAGGTCAAAGGTCATTCGGATATAAAGGCACGTTGCGTCACATATGATATATGAGTCTTTGAAAGCCCGGCGAAGCTCCTCGTAAACTAGCTAGCATTGAAGCAAGGTGAAGATGGAATTACAATACCGACCCCTCTAGCAGGTGAGGCTTGTTGGAGGTGCCCTCCTCCCAAATACAGCACACGTGCATTGAGATAATGTCAGGAGATCCTGTTTGAGGGGTTGTCTGTTGTTACGTTGGACATAGACAACGCCGGTAATGAATAAATAGCATGTTGATGCCATGCAGTTTTGTTTGTCCCGTCCTTCTGTCTTCTTCTGTGTTCACCTTTCGAGATAAACCATCTGTGAAAACTGACAGATATTTAGCATTAATGGTTTAGTCATTTACATCAAATGAAATGTCAACTTTAAAAATATGTTAATGCATATATGTACAAACTTCATGAAATTACATTATCTAAACCAATAGCTAAGTGGTCTAGGAAGATTAATTTGACAGAACTGGCATAAAAATGGAATAAACATATTGTTATAAACATAATCATATTTTCATAATCTTTTGTCTAATCTTAAAGCCGAGTTTAGATAATAACTCGTGAAATAGTACAAGTTTGTGGTTTTTATCTCACCTTGAGCGGAGAGCCTGCAGAAAAGTTTCTTTTTTTAAAGCATTATTGGTTTTTTTCTAGATAGTGTTTTTTTCAAGACTTAAATACAAATATCGAGGTTCAGATACAACTACCGGAGAAGTAGACGGCTTTGTAATATAGATAGAAGCTTCGATCGATTCATTCTTTTCTTTCTCTGATCGTCGGCGTTGCTAATCTCGAAGTTTGACACGACTAACGGAGAAAATGTTGAATTTGTAATATGGACGTCGATCGGGATATATAAATTTCTTTCTCGTGAATCTCAACTACTTGAACGTTGTATATCTCGAAGTTTGACCCGAATGAGGGAGAAAATGATATTTGTTTTGCATAGACGTCGATTAATAAATTTCTCTCTCGTAAACCTCGATTAATTGAACGTTGTTTATCTCGAAGTTCGACACGACTGACTGAGAAAATGTTGAATTTGTAATATAGATGTGATTAATAAATTTCCTTTCTCATTATCTCGAATATTAGACACGACTGACGGAGAAAAAAATGTTGAATTGGTTTTAAGAGATAGGAGCGTGAAGATGCAGATATTGACTTACTCACGCAGACGGTGCTGAATTTATCTTATCGTGAGCGTAACCACGTGATAACTAGTAAAACATTAACAAAGCAACAACTGCTTTATCGCAATATAAACGCAGTTCATGAACGCAACACATAAACGCAATAGTGTTAATGTAATGGCAGCCAAGATTGGGGAAACAAAGCTTAATATCATATGAGATTAATGAAACAAAGTGACACTTTAATTTCTTAAAGGATTCATCTGTAAATTATTGAAATGTGAAAAAAAAACATTTTTGATTGTCAGTTTCATTCAAAAACAAAAACAATATCTGCAAATGTTTCTTTTCGTAACTGTCGATCGTTTTTTTTTAATTCTAAAACATATTCTTGACATCATTATCAAAAAGTTGAAATTAATATCAATCAAATCAGTTGTTGACGTGACGGTTAAAAGGCCTTTGCACTTTAAAACGCAATGAACTTTTTTTGTCTGAGATTGAAATGTTTTGATTTTATTGTAGTAATACTTTACTAATTGTAGTGAAATCAAAACCTTACTAATGAATACAATCAAAGGTGTTGTCAAGGTTTGATATATATTAATTTGAGCTTAAAGTGCAATGATATCGTTAGATTTCCATTGTCCGATTTCGGATTTAAACAGGACGCGACAACTCATTTTGTGATTTGGGCGTTTGATTTTTTTTCTACAAAGGGACGAAAATGAAACATAACACAAGAGAAAGGACTACTCATGGCGCAACCAATCTTATCCCGATTCAGTGATAGTCGGCGGGATCATTGTTAGGTCTAAAGCGCAGTATGATAGATCGGCGTAACTATGTTGCAACAACAGTAACGCGGCGGGCAGCCGAGTCAACAAATCCCCTTCGTTTGTGACGCAATAAATACATAGGAAGGGTTTTCTTAGTGCCCCGTGTTTACATAACAAAGATTTATTGAAAGTCACGTAACCCTTAAATGGTCAGAATTTGAATTTCCTTCACTCATTTAAATCATTAAAGCGAAGGTGCGTTTCACTCCCCCCTGTCATCTTATGCGTTCTTGCTAAGGTACCTCTCGTTCATGTTCACTCGACTGACAAGGGGCACGCGCCGAACCGCGAATGGTGTGAGACAATCTCGCCGATAGCTCAAGGAGGTGGAGCCTATATTATTGTCGCACGCCTTATATAAAAGTCAACACTATGTGACGTGTACCCATCCAAATTTTCCACTACCTTCCGAGAACGGAGTCAAACTACCAGCTAGTGACGTAAGTGACGTATCAAGGCACGCGACATGCACGAGCCAGTTTCACGATTACTGGACATGGAAACCGAGTCCAGAATGCCCGTAATTCCGATGTCCACTATTGATGGTCAGGGAATTTTTCAAACAATGACCATGGACAGACCTTCGTGCATGTTTACAATTTCTCCGCAATCCTCGCCATCCACTCCCGAGGATAAATTTTACAATGTTATGAAGGAAAATGTGAGAGAAATGGTGTGTAAGAGGCGACTGGACTTTAACAGCCACGAAACCTACCTCGGACTGACCAAGCCTCCCACTGTGGCCGTAGAACGACGCAACGAGCGCGAGAGGAACAGGGTCAAGCTCATTAACATGACTTTTGCAACTTTACGTGAACACATTCCAGCTGGTGGCAAAAACGGGAAGAGCAAGAAGATGAGCAAAGTGGACACGCTAAAGGCTGCTATAGACTATATTCGGTACCTACAGCAACTTGTGGACGAACACGATGCTGTCAATGCTGTGTTGGATAGCAACTGTCTTCCAAAATCGGCGATTTCACCGGCTTCTCCGTCGGTGCATTCCCCGACGCCAAGTACCTCTTCGGAGACTTCACACGAAATCCTGAGCGCTGAGGAGGAGGAGCTGCTTGACTTTACCAACTGGTTCTGAAGCTCTTCATCAGAGAACCCGGATGTACCGGTTCAAATAGCGGTAGGTATCCCTCTCTGGGTTCTAATACTTTCTCTCCCCCTCTGACGACCCCCGGGGTAGCTTGGTTTAAACGGTGCTGTTTGCACCCTCCTTGTTTCAAAGGTTGACATTATTCCCTTCTTCAGCCTCGGGAATGCCCATTATATCTCTGAACATAATCTTGTATTAAGAGAAATACCTCATAAGATTACAGTTGCAGACCTCTCCCCAACCTTTATCTCCCGCAACGGGAGTACCACGTAGTTAACACAGTGAAAAAATATCCTCTGTACTATAGCGTAGCCTAAAGGTTTTTCGTGCCTTTTCTTCATTTTGTTGACTACCCCAAACAAACTATTTTCATATAATGCTTGTTTAATCAATAACTTGACCGTCTTTAGATATCATGCATGTGCATACCCTATTTGTATTTGATTTAATTTTAATGTTCCGTGGTCGGTTTTTTTTATATATATATATGCATGAATTTGAAGTAAGGCTCTATGGAGTTTATTTCTATATAAAATCTTAATAAATTTACGTGCAGGTAGCAAAAGGTTCAACAAATAAAACAGGTAAATGATTTATGGAGATTTTTATTTTTTTAAATGACGATTTTCAAAATTATTTATTTGATAAATATTAATGAATAACGGTGTCACATTTTGATTCGATTTTAATGTTATGCAAACAAGTTTGTGGTTTATTAAAATAAACTACCATGATAATCTGATCGCCTTTAATTGATCAAAATATCCAATATTTGCTTAAATAAATTCTGAATCGATGTCACTCCGGAAAACGAGTCACCATCAATGAGCCGTTTTCATTGTATCACAATTTGCTACGATGAAGTCTCAAAGCACAATTGTCGACTGTTAACGAGATCAAGGGACTGCAATTACGAAACGGTCTGACACCGCTTGTCAAGAAAATTGTTTAAATATAAGTGTTAAACAATCTTAACGATGAAAAGATGTTATCGTGAGCTATGAGATAGAGGAACCGTGGATCAATAATGCGGACACAAAAGTGTCGACTGAATTGATAAGGTTATATTTGTAACCGTTGTGGGTGACACCCTTAATCTCTTAGCGGTTCTGTTGGTTTGATAACCCCCGTGGAAATACTCGTAATCTAGCTCCTCCCTAGATGAAGACATGCGAAATGGGCATCGCTATCTCAACATAACAAAAAGAACTTATCTATTTAAAGATAGGAATTATTAGCGTTCTCTCGTATGGGTGCTCGCGTATGACAGTTACTCGGTAAAGTAAACATATAAATACATTCGAGTCAAAGTCGTTTGTTGAAGTGTGTAATTTACCGGTAGTAAAACGTTACCTGAATCATTTTAAAGGTAATGAATGGTTCATCAACCTATTTCAAGTGTAATAAAAGTCGTGCGTAACAGGAAAAGGAGTAAAGGAATTAGCATAAATTCTAATCAAATGTATCCGGTTTTTTTACCGGTATATGAAGTGATGGTTTTGTCATTAGATCGATATATAATGAAATGATCAGATGTTCACATACTAGGGTCTGCTCTTTGGTTGATATTTTGTTGTCTTTAATATTTTTCAGAATAGCGTGTGTTCTTCAAGGCCCCGCCCTCGGTAACGCCCCCTATCGATTCCGCTGCGCCTGATTGGTTCCGATATTGAACCGCCATGCAAGCTGCAAACAGTGGCGCGAGTCGGAAGACGGTGATAGAAATTCCGGATAAGCACTGCGGGTCAGCGTCACGGCTAACCAGTATAGAAATGCAGAGACTATCACGTAGGACAGACAGACAATGAGATGGTACACGGGTGTGTACAGGTGTGCACAGATCACGTGACTCAGGCTGACAAACCCTGCTTGTCATTAAAAAGGACGCATGTGTGTAAAATTGCTTGGTCTGATTGCGGAGTGCTGGCATTATTTTTAAAACGCATTCAGATATATGTATAACTATACTGTTTACTATACCGACAGATATATATATATATTTTTATATACATGTAAAAGTTAAGCTTTACAATTATTTTTAAAATGCAATTAGTGCTCTTTTATTTATAGCTTTTTATTTAAATTATGATGATTAATTATGTTTTAATTCAATAATACCGGTAAATCTATGCAATATTTACGTGTTTGTAAAATTCTATTTTTGCTATATAAATCTTATATTTGCTCTGATGATGAAATAAAATGTATAATTATCAAAGCAGATTTCGTGATCTCGTTACTTCTCTAGCGATTGACTGGTATGTAAAAACCACCCAAACCATGCCTATTGATAAATTCTAAGGTTTTGACTTTTACGAACAACACCGAAGTTTTATACATAGATGATTTTTCGTCAATGTGTCCTGACTAGCAAGGTTTCACTGAACACATAAACCAAAGTGTCAAGACTAACAAGGTTCCGCTGTACACATAAACCAAAGTGTCTAGACTAACAAGGTTCCGCTGTATACACAAACCAAAGTGTCCAGACTAACAAGGTTTCGCTGTACACACAAACCAAAGTGTCCAGACTAACAAGGTTCTACTGTACACACAAACCAAAGTGTCCAGACTAACAAGGTTCTACTTTACACAAAACACAAAGTGTCCAGACTAACAAGGTCCTATTGTACACACAAACCAAAGTGTCCAGATTAACAAGGCTCTACTGTACACATAAACCAAAGTGTCTAGACTAACAAGGTTTTACTGTACATACAACACAGAGTGTCCAGACTAACAAGGTTCTACTGTACACACAAACCAAAGTGTCTAAACTAACAAGGTTCTATTGTACACACAAACCAAAGTGTCCAGACTAACTAGGTTCCATCGTACACAAAGCAATGTGCCCAGATTAACAAGGTTCTTCTTAACACAAACCGAAGTATCTAGACTAGCAAGGTTCTACTGTACACACAAACCAAAGTGTCAAGACTAACAAGGTTCTACTTTACACACAAACCAAAGTGTCCAGACTAACAAGGTTCTCCTGTACACACAAACCAAAGTGTCCAGACTAACAAGGTTCTACTGTACATACAACACAGAGTGTCCAGACTAACAAGGTTCTACTGTACACAAGAACCAAAGTGTCAAGACTAACAAGGTTCTTCTTTACACACAAACCAAAGTGTCCAGACTAACAAGGTTCTACTGTACACACAAACTAAAGTATCTATACTAACAAGGTTCTACCGTACACACACACCAAAGTGTCAAGACTAAAAAGGTTCTTCTTTGCACACAAACTGAAGTGTCCAGACCAACAAGGCTCTACTGCACACATAAATCAAAGTGTCCAGACTAACAAGGTTCTACTGTACACACAAAACAAAATGTTCAGTATAACAATGACCCACTGTATACACAAACCAAAGTGAGTGCCCAGACTAGCAAGGTTCCACTTAATACACAACGCAGAAGTGTCCGCACTAACAAGGTTCCACTTAATACGCAACGCAAAAGTGTCCGGACTAACAAGGTTCCACTTAATACACAACGCAAAAGTGTTCGGACTAACAAGGTTCCACTTAATACACAACGCAAAAGTGTCCAGACTAACAAGGTCACCCTGTCAAAAAAGCACAAACCAAAGTGACGTACTAACAAGGTTCTACTGTACACACAAACCAAAGTATCCAGACTAACAAGGTACCACTGTACACACAAACTTAAGTGTCCAGACTAACAAGGTTCTACTGTACAAAATTGTCCAGACTGACAAGGTCACCCTGTCAAACAAAAAAACAAAATTGTCCAGACTGACAAGGTCACCCTGTATTTACTACAGTTGCGTGACGTCTCATAGCTAAAGTACGTAGTTGTCAATTTGTTTTTATGTTTTAAAGTGATTTTTTGATTTATGCAAAACCGTTAACATAACTGATGTTAATTCGACACAATCGTTGCTTATGATATACTTTTATGACAATAAAATTACGTAGAAATATTTTATAAACTTTGTGTAAATACAGCGATATATTGCCAGAAAAAAAACATCATTTGGTATAAATGAAATATGAAATGTATATATAATGATTATAATGTCCATTTAATGGCAATTTAACCAGCTTCCGCATGCTACTAATGTAGGTTAAGAGTACATATATCCCTTCGGGCAAGGATATCAAATAATGTAAAAATGTCTTATAGTTTAGGTAAGATTCAAGGAATGTTTTTTTATGAAACATAAAACGGTCAAACAGTAAACATGTAGCTTTATTGCAGCATCATGAATGTATGGAATGAGTCATCGCTATGTTATGTTTAATTTCCTATTTTTATTATTTATTATTGTTGAAAATACTGCGTACTCGGGGCTTCATGCGTATCCTAGAAAATGACTGCAGTTTGGCCGTATCTATAAAACAGCTAAAACTTGTTTCCAGAGGTAGTTGAAATCCCCCATTTGAGAAACTCATGACCCTTCATCGCGAGTCCAGACACGCTAACCGCTACCATTCTTCTGACCAACGGGTAGATAAAACAGTAACACCGGTGAGGAGTTCTGGGTTAAGATGATATATTTAAGAAACGCTTTAAGAAATCAGCTCGGGTCTTTCTGTAATACTTACGATTTCAGTGCTTGCCGAAAACGCCCGATTGATTTACAATTGACGGCGATGAGAAACAATTGTTAAAAGAAAGTTAAACTAAGATATATTATCTTATAAACACAAATTAAAAGTTGTCTGATATTGCAAATTTCTGGAGGAATATATCTCTGGTTCATCTTCTGTACAGGTTACCTCCCTTTCATTCCTAAACTCTATATATTTCAATTTTTTCACAATTTTCACCTTCATAGTTCCAAAAGTGCACATAGCATCATACAATTAAACCTCGATATAATGCCACTCGATTCATCGCCATCTCGCTTACCGCCTACATATTTTGTATATTTTTTACCTAATTTTACAAATGTCCCTCCATTGATTGCCAAACCCCTTTACAACGCCATTTTTCTCTCTGGAACCTATGTTTTCTAAATATTTAAAATAAGACCTGATATGAGAATACTCTACAAAGGGTTGTTCAGTAAAGGGATAAAATACATTTGATATCACAGTGAAATTACAGGCGTTTCAAATTTGTTCAAGCGTTCTCTGTATCGAACGTGGCCATTTCTACAGCCAGAAGTATTTGACTCAAGTATTCAACTCTGGTATTTATTTGCTGTATTCAACTCCATTTTCTGGTACATTTTGAATTCAATATCAATGCACAACTTTGATATTCAACTCATGTATTCATCACGCATATCAAATTGGTATACAACTCCCGTATTCAATTCCAGGGTACACCGTACAACCTCAATATTAAACTCCTATATTCATTTCGTGTTTTTATCCCATATCACAACTTCGATATTCAAATCCGATATTCTAGTCTGGTATTTAACTTATGTATTCAACGATGATATGATGGTTTATCAAGTTGTATATCTGTAAATTTCGATTTTTGTATTTCTATTTTGAACTCCTCTACATTACAGGTTTTTTTAAATAACATTTATTTTTTACGGACATCAGAGATGAGATAACTCAAAAACAGATAACAGTCGTGATGTGAAATGTAGCATATATCCTTAACTGATTTTGTTCGTCTGTGCATATATCATTCTGGTGCTGGTAAAATGCAAACCTAAAATATCATATACTAGTTATGCACATAAGACTTACATGAATAAAGGATCCTCTTATCTTAAACGGAAAAGACGGAATTAGCAAAGAGTATACCTGAAAGAGAGGAAGAAAAGAAGAAAGGAAGAGAGAAAGAAAAAAAGAAAGAAAGAAATAAGAAAGAACGAACGAAAGAACGAAAAACAGTCAGGGCCACACAAGGGATCGAACCATGTACCTCAGATCATTATACCGTCGTTCAGTTAAGCCAAATTCAAATTAAGGGGAGGCTACTGTACGTACAAAAAAAGAATACAATGGAATTCTCCAGTGTTCTTCTGCAGTGGGACAGCGATACTTGAAACCCTGAAAATTAAATTACCTGAAAGAGAGGCTAAAATTGTATATTTATTAGGTATTATTATGCATAAATATGTCTTTGAACTGATTCCGAGATAATTTTAAGCTGGAAACTTCTTCTATAATAAAAATCACATTTTCCCCCAAACAAGTCATTGTTCGGGCACGCTTTCTGTATCTTCTTATCTTTAATTTATCTAAAAATTACAAGGTCTTGAAAATTCAACACTTTTCAGAAAAATCTAGCAGACATTTTAGTCAATTGTATATAATGAATTAACCTGTCTTTCAGATACAAATCTTGACGATTATAAATTGAACTATTTAGAAATAAGAAAGGTGGTTTGTTCACCTTCAACACGTCAAAGGCAATTTACATTGCTGCTTTATTCCTGTTAAAAAGCAATCATTTCTGTATGCTAAAGGTAAGGTCTTAATGCGCGTGATCAGTTTCAATTCTATGCGGGACTGCTGTAATGTAATCCCGCAGTGAATGAATTGTAATGCCATAATTACTCAACATTGTATAGTCTTTGTACATCTGAAACCTAGATATATAAGATTATCAAAATGGTTATTATCATGTAAAGTAATTTTAAATGTCATCATCCATTAAATGAAAGGCAAGTAAAAATAAATGCTAGACCTGTTTCCATAGTTATTTGGCTTATAAGCCGTCCTCTCCGGTTACCTCAACACTAAGTGAAAATCGTTATCAGATTAAAAATCAATTTTGAGCACGCGTTGGGTGTTAAAAAATAATTTCTTCGAAAGATATTGTGTTCGAGTTGTCCAGTGCATACTTAATAAAACTTTGAAGAAAAAATAACTTTTTTTCGAATAGATGATAGCGAAGCACAGAATTAATTAAAGAATTGGTATAGATTTCTTTAAATGACAAACATAGATATTCAAAATGAATTTCATTTCAGCGCTAAAAGTTTTTGGAGTCGTTATAAGGATTACAGGAAACATATTTTTATTAAAACATTTT